TGTTGGACACATTTTGGCTCGGGGGGGGGGGGACACTTGGAATTCCCAGGGATATGGCTGAAAGAACCCCTGCACAAGGGGGGGGTGGCAATTTGAGCGTTTTGGGGGGTTATTAGAAAAATGAGCTGTCTAGATTTTGAAAACAAACCCTCTACTGTGATTTAACTTTTATTTTAAAAGGAGAATCGTTGAAGTCTCAATTTAAAATAAGCGTTCATTACAAGTGTTTTAAAAATCATTTCAGCTTATTCAGTGAACAACCCTATTTTTGAGTATTAAAAATGTATATGACACATGGGGGGCATATGAATTTTAGAAAGGCTTTTGTGGGGCATGGCGCACAAAAGGTTGGGAAATACTGAGAGGTTCCATTCATACCCTTGGCGCTACAGACGATGTATGGCTTTAGCCTGCCTCACTACTTCCTTCCACTTAGACCTAACTAACGCTTTTCTTTTCCATTTCCATGCTTGAATTCCCACTTGCTGTAGATCTTTATCCACCATCTAAGCCTAGGTCTGCCTTTGAGCCGTTTTCCTCTAGGGCTTTGGTGATGTACCCTCTTCACTTCTCTCTCATTTTTTTTCTAAGTATCCTGCCCAGAGCAGCCGGGTTTTATTCAACTGATTGGCTTTCGTTTTCACAAATGGTTTATTATTGAATAATCTCTATTTTAATTTGCAGCCAGTCTCTGCTTAGCCTCTGAACCGGAGACCAAAAAAAAAAAGAAAAAAAGCGCCCAACACTGTAGCTCTGTAGTTGTAGTGCAATCAACCCAAAGTTCATGTTCCTAACATAAACACGACACATAAAACACAAACCATACAAACATACAAACCGAACCACATAAACCACCATCGTATAATTTGTTGTTACAACGGTTGATAAAAAATAAAACGACAGAAAAAGTATTGTTAGATTTTATAAATTTTAATTCATATCTCATTTGTCAACACCAACAAATAAATCAAGGGAACAGAAATATTCATTTTTGTACAAGTCTTTGCATTGCTCAGTTGCTTTCTTTAGCATAAATTATATATTTTTTTAAATAAATACTTAAATACATGTATACTTCTTTAAAAAAAACAAAAAAAAACTACAATTATGATTATTGTAGTGGACATTCTTACAATAAATTATTCATTTATTCCTTCATAAATAATCCGAGGTTCATTGGTGTATTATAATATAAACTGACAAAATATTAACAGTGTATATCATCAACTGACAAATGCTAACAATCTACTCTAAGCCACTAACTTCAGCACTGACTGACTCACATCTCACCAGATTCCAGGCCGAGCTACTTCATGGTATCGCAATGCTGAAGCTGGAAGGGTGTCTTTCGCCAATGCTACCCCCCCCCCCTCAACCCCCCCCCTCCATGTTCCAGCCCACAAACTACAAGCCTTATTCAGGCACTGAGACGTGCCGGCTGGTGATGCAACCATCGCCATTAGTGCTGGCCGTTTCACCAGATTCCAGGCCGAGCTACTTCAGGGTATCGCAATGCTGAAGCTGGAAGGGTGTCTTTCGCCAATGCTACCCCCCCCCCCCCTCAACCCCACCTCTTCATGTTGCAGCCCACAAACTACAAGCCTTATTCAGGCACTGAGACGTGGCGGCTGGTGATGAAACCATCGCCATTAGTGCTGGCCGTCTGCCAGGGAGTTGGCGGGCTGCGCGCGCTTCGCTTCTGGCTCAGCCAATGGGGAATGACCGTGGGCTGACCTTATCGATCGTGACACGACACGACCTTGACAGAACATAACGGCGTGGCGGAAAATTACCAGGCAGGGAGAATACACGGCTGCGCTAAGTAGGTCATGTACCGTAACACCCTTATTGTTGTGCCGCGTGAAATTATCCATTTCAATTGTCATCTTCCGCGTTTACCAAGAGGAACTGAAATGTTCACAAGTCAATACCAGGAAACAGTAATAACTGCCCCAATCAAAAATTAAATTCCGTTCACATTTCGGATATAAATAATAACAAAATAGTCAACATATCTTAATTTAAGACACGTGGACAGTACACTTCCTGACAAAATGTTCCATCATTAAAAATAAAATAAAATAATCATTCAGTTAAATACATGTTCACCAATAAATACAATCATAAATAGCACATCTCTGGGCTTATAATACAGTATCTACACAAAGGGGGGTGTGGGGTGGGCTGAACACACAGAAGCCCACCCCCCCCCCCCCTTCCCCTCAACCCGACACAATCACGCTTTTAACAAGAGTTTAAGAACAAAAAACCAACAACAAATGTGCTGCCAATATCTTACTGTTGTTCAATCACATGACGTGGTAGTCATACAACCCCCCACCTAAATAATACATTTTCTTTCCTACCCCCCCCCCCACACCAAAAAAAAATTAACTAATAATATAATAACTTCACTTTCCCATTTCCAGCACTGACTATGCAAACAGAAGGCCAACTGAACTAATGGTTTACTACATTATCACCATCATTGGATTGACATCTAGCCCCCTAGTAGCTCTTAAACTACAACCAGTGAAATCCTTTTTATTTTCAACAAATTGTTTGGAAGGAATGAATTACATGAGCTGACTGACTAGACATATAATTCAATTTAAAAAAAAGCTGTACTAAAAAATTAAGTCTTTTAACAAATGCTTGGTAAATGTAAATTATTTCAATAAATTAGATGGAAGCAATAAATAGAGATGGTACTGGGGTTCAATAACCGACGTTTAAGTGATGTGTGATAAAGATGATGGGTAAAATGGGCCATAATACTAAAAGCATAATAATAAATATGTTCTGCTCATACTCTCTGACCAGCAAGCATTTCAAAGATGTAACAAGTGATAAATTATAATGTAATAAATATACAATAAATAGCAGCAAACTGATATCTTGTAACTTTCTTCGATGGTTTCTCAATCAATGAGCAGGAAATTAGCTTTTGAAAGTTTTCAATTTAATGCAGGTAGTCTCAGACAGAAATTTTATATATATTTTTTTTTAAATTCAGGGTTTGGGTTAAGGGCAAACTAATTGAATAACTTTGGTAAAGCAGTTTAAAAAAAATGTAAAAATAAGTTGTATTTTTTTTATGAGAAGATGTAATCAAATCAACTGGAATGTTAAAAATTAAAAAATTACTTTACAAAAAAAAAAAAAAAAAAAAAATAAAAAAAAGAAAGGACAACTATAAACTAAACAGAAAAAAAAAAAAATTATACATATAAAAAAAAAAAAAAAATAAAAAAATTACATTAAAAAAAAAAAAAAAGAAACAAAAATGAAAGATAGTAAGGGCTACTGTAAGCTACACAGAAGAAGAAAAAGATTGTCCATATGCAAAATAAAAAACAGTTGACTGTTGATAGGACTAAGAAAGTAATAATGTTAAACTAAATGCAAGGCTTTAAATTACACATAACACTACACTCTCTTAAGAATATAAATACATTTTAGTTTCAACTGTCGTAAATAACTTTAAATCGTATTTTAATTTAAGTATTGGCATTGGTTTTCCCACAACAAAGGTTAGAGTCAGTTGGCAGTAAATGTTCGTCTATACAGTGGACTGGACGAAGCTGGAAGCACTTTCACAATTAAAATAAATAGTCTTTTTGAACCGTTGGTTTATCATATCTGGGACGAACCGATGAAGGCTTCGAGATAAATAAATAAATACAGCTCGAATGAGCAGCAAAACAGGGCGCACCTCAAAAAACAGTATGTCGAGCAATGTTCTTGATTAGAGTTTGATGAATCACGTGAAAGTATATTCCGAGAATTCCTAAAGGAAACGATATCCAAAAATGTTCCAATTTTTGATTGCTTTTTGGGGTCCATTCCGGGCCGATCCGTCGACGGTTGAAGATAATCCTGGATATTTAAGTCCTTTTTTTTTCTTTCTTCTAAATTGTCAATAAAAAAGTCCAATAAAATGTCTAGAGTAGTTTTCATGGCTGAGTGATCAAGGCAGTACACGTGACTGGTTTCTTTCTTCATGTAGAAATGACCAGCGAGATTATGCTGCCCTTCGTTTGAGGTCTTGCTTCGAAGACGACAGTATCCCAAACCCCTTCAGTAGGAGTTTAGTCATAAGGCAACAAGGTGCTGTACTGCTGTAGCAACAGCGGGCTTGCTTAAAGATCGGCTCCCCTTTCGGGGAGTGAGGCGTTGCAAGTATCGTGCTGCAACATCCCCCAATTCGAGGGACTTTCTTTTTTTTTAAAACGGGAATGAGGAAGAGGTCGGGCGCTGCAGCTAAACACTCGTCCAGATTCCTTCGTACCCAAATCAAGATTCACTGATGCTGCCGTCACTGGCAGAATCGTGGGTGTACGAATCAGAATCCTCATCGTCATCTTCTTCTGGACTCTCTTGGATCGGGTCCAGGTTCGACATGGCAGAGATGGTCCTTTGCCGTTTCTTGGGGAACATCGGTTTGGTCTTTCTCTTGGATTTGAGCCCGGCCTGCGCTTGCTTGGAAGCAGACTTGCTGGACTTGCTGCTGGTCTTCTTCTTGATAAAGCTCAGAATGGAATTGAAAAGCCCCTTTTTCTCGCCATCGTCCACTTTGGTGAGGTCTTCTTTTGCCTGGGCCAAACCGAGACAGCTGGCGTGTCTTTTCGACTCCGGGCTGCTCAGACCCGGGCTCTTCATGTTGGGTAAAGACGTGGACAGATGTTTGGGGGCAGCGACGCGGGACTCGCAAAGAACAGGGTTGCTCTTGGAGGCGGTGTCCGCTTGAATGATGTAAGTGTAAGTGACTCCATTTTTGTCTCTGAGAGTGACTTTGTAGGTCTTCATGTCGCTGGACTTCGCCTGCTTCAAGTCCGCTTTGTCGATTTTAGCCTTCTTGGCCGCCTGTCTCTTGTGAGCTGGCTTGACGAATGGCATGTAGCCGTGTGTAGCGTTTGGATACATTGCCATTGAAGGATGAAAATATGTCTTTTAATTCCGGTTGAGGAATAATAAATATAATTCGCCTTGAAGAATAAAATGTTTAACACAGAGTTAAGTCTTGTCTCGACCACAATGTAATAACAGTTCTGAAGAAGTTTGCTCAAGTCCGTGGTTTTTATAACACAACTGGAAGTAAACAATAATACAGTGATGACACTACAGAAACAAAATCCGATTTCAGAATAGAACTGGTGTCAGTAATAGTATTGGACCTGGAACGTCCGAAGTTTCGACTGATAGCAACCCCTGTCGTAACGCTGTGTATAGGCTGAGAAATGGGCCAATCAGACGCTCTTGGCGCAGTTTTTCAATGACGTTGGAGGAGACGGGCGAGTCAACTCCCAGCCATAGGGGGAGAAGGGTGGTTGTTATCAAAATGTGGCGACATGTTTCGGTGTGGTTTTCGAAAATCTACTGTTTATTTTGAAATTGTATGCATCTAAGTTTATAAAAATCAAAAATCAAATACAACTGCATATCTTATTTTACAGAAAAAGCTTTATTTGTAATCGTTTACATCTCGAATTCTCAATGTTATGACAAACTGTTCACCCTCAAGTCAATTGGTTAGGTCGCGGTGCATATTTAATGAGCTTGGGCTGTTGCCAGAAGTCATTCCCGCTGCACGTGAAAAAGTTCCTGTAGTGGTCACATGACTGGCATTGTAAGAACGAATGAGCCAATCGTCGACGAGGAGAGAATTAAGTCGTGATCCTGAATCGCTTGCCCTACCAAGCAGTCACGAGTTATTTTGCGCACCCTACTGTAAACATTACTCTTTACATGTTTTGTAAACATACCTTCGTCATGCCCAGATTTTCATTAACAGGTTTGTTTTCTTTTAATAAGAAATAAAAGTACCAAAAGTTCACTTAAAAGTGATTAACAGTATACCACCGAAAACATAAAAGTCGTGGTGCGACCATCAAATTTTCTCCCACCCTCGGTAACTAAGTCAATGAAATGTTGTCATGGCGCCAAGAAATTCCCGCCCTCGTCAAACGGCTCGAATAGTTTTGTGGGGTCGCTTCACACACTTGACGCAGCGCCAAGCTCTTGTGTATATCTCCTTACTCTCCATCCCAACGATATTATTTATTTTTTTTGTTGACAAAAATTAAGATAGCCGGCAAGATTGGGATCGAGACTCGTAGTTTACATTACGACCAAATTAGCAAGAGTGTATAAGCGCTGAATCCGATTTAGACTGGCTGGGCCCCAAAGCTTTGCAATGTATGTCCAGGGGCCCCCAAACGTTTTAAATTGCATCAACTGGTCAAAGATAAATTTAAAACATATAGTTGGCGGACTGTGAGGTCCTAAGCTGTAGCTTATTTAGCTGATAGGTAAATCCGTTACTGGATAAGTGTTACCTCAATACTGATCTGAGGGGTAGGTTTGAGTTAACATTATGGATCAGTATCACCATCAACCTTTTACTATGATTTACTAGTTTTGTCAATAAAAAGTTATTGTATTTATATGAAAAAGGAGCACGAAGATTCATAGAGGTTATTTCTTTAACTTACTTCTAGGTTGGGAGAATTCAAAAGTTTAAACGAAAAAAAATAGTTTTTTTTTTCTTTTTAAGGAAGCTACGTGACGTGTAGTTGGTTCAACATTAGAGTATTCGCAATGTTGTGAGTCGTTTGTGAAGACACCTTTATCCCCAACAAGACCATTCCTAAACGAGGCTTTGGAATTCACCAGGCAAGGTACATCGCTGAAAATCAAGAGGGTTAGATTCATGTTAGTGGCGCGTATACCCCCACCCCCCCCCCCCCCCCCCCCCCCCCCCCCCCCCGACACCCACTTTCCCCCCCCCCCCCCCGCCACAACTTCAGTAAATTGGAGAAAAAAAATGAAAGAATGTTCTAGCCACTGAGAAGGTGCGGTGAAATGTGAACGTTAAATTGTGTTTTAAGCAGTGGAGGGTCGGGTTTTGGGGGAACGTTGATGTGGGAGGCTTTTGTTAGAGAGTACAAGAATCCGTGACCTGAAAACTAGGAGAACATTTAAGCGGCTTAGGAAATGTAAGGATACTAGAGGGAGAAATGCAAGTGCATTTAGAAGGAGAAATGTTAGGACATTTAGAATTAGAGGGAGAAATGTTAAGGGATTTAAAACTAGAGGGAGAAATGTAATGACAATTTTAGAGGGAGAAATTTAAGGACATTTAGAATTAGAGGGAGTGGGAGAAATGTAATGATATTTAGATGGAGAAATTAAGTTCATTTGGAAGGAGAAATGTAAGGATATTTAGAGGGAGAGATGTTCATTAAAATTTTAATACTCTAGATTTTGATAAACTTGCTTGACGTAGTGCAGTATGTTGTTTCAAATGAGTAAAACAATCGGTGAAGAGCTGTCAGGTTTGACCGTTACTTTGTTTTACTCATTTCCTTCCGTTAAAGAGCAGTCAGGTTGGCGGCATGATCTCTACGTTTCAAGACCCCATGTCATAAGTTAAGTACCGGTATACCAAGTGACTGTATCAGTGAACGGACTTTGGACCAAACATAAACAATGACATCGTGCTGGACTCACTCTAGGCTCAGGAGCGGACAAACTGTCAAGGTAATCAACATTGTCAAGCGTGCTGGACTCACTCGGTCACTGCACTGACTCAACGATTTTGAAGTGTGGAATGACTAACACGTGCAATACACACAACACCCCCCCCCCCACACACTTTTTCTTCACACCCTTCCCACTGTTGACCAAAGGTCCGGCAACACCGTGACCAGACACTCCATCGTCAATTTAACTAGCTAAACAAAGAGTCTCTCTGATGACATCGATTTCTCGGAAGTGGGGCACTGGTCCGATTCAAGTCATGCTGATATTAATCATTAATTTAATTTCATCCCTTCTATGTGGAAATACATTAGCGTCAAGCCAGCAGATCCGCAAATAAAATTACGTGTTTCAGCCAACAACAATAATAACCAGCCCAGCTTAAAAGAATGATCCCCCCTCCCCCATCCCGTTGCCAGTCAAGGGTTTTTTTTTTTTTTTTTTTTTGGCTTGAGCGTGCTCAGTGTAAAGAAATGGCGGGAGGATGATGAAATCACCGATCGCACGGTGAGGGTAAACACGCAGCAGGTTGGTGGCAAAGGGCCGCCATTGAAGTGGAAGAGGCATGGCCACAGTTAGTGGTTTACTCGTGACAGTCGTGTAGTAGGTGATTTGTTTATGTTTGGAGACTACAATAAGCACGCGCCGAGGTCAGAGCGGTTCTTATGAATGATTGCTAGCACTAGCAGAGAATGATTGCTAGCACTAGCAGAGAATGATTGGCAGCAGAGGTGAAAAGACTCCCTGAAAGTCACGAGTAATTTTGGTTTTGTTTTTCTTCCAGGCGTAGGTGTTTACACTTGATGTGTACAGTGTACACCTTCAGGGCATAACTTTAAAGTCAGACTTATGATAGAAGACCAAGGGTAATAGACTAAAGGTAACAGATTCGGATTCAAGGTCATTGAAAAAGAATGTGATGAATAAGTCATAGAAACAGAATGTAACTATGACTTAATAGAAACTGAATGTCACTATGACTTCATTAAACTTAATAGAAACAGAATGTAATGGAAAAGTCATAGAAACAGAATGTAATGAAAAAGTCATAGAAACAGAATGTAATGAAAAAGTCATAGAAGCAGAATGTAATGAAAAAGTCATAGAGACAGAATGCAATGAAAAAGTCATAGAAACAGAATGTAATGAAAAAGTCATAGAAACAGAATGTAATGAAAAAGTCATAGAAACAGAATGTAATGAAAAAGTCATAGAAACAGAATGTAACACGACACCAGAGAAACAGAATGTAACTATGACGCCATAGAACAGAAATATAATGGAGTGTAAAGGAAACCGACTTTTGATCTAGTTTAAATCGTAAGCAATGGGGTACAGTCACACAGGATACATCTTCGAGGATGGATTTCGACTTGGGTAAGAAAAGATAACAGCTCTCATTTTGAGCACGGAGGATGGTTCTTCAGGATATGCTCTAAACAACAACTTCTTTTACGAACATATTGAAGGGGACCAAAATATGAACGTTTAGTTTGTTGACAAGCCATGATGACCATCTAAACGTTAGTGTCACGTAAGATGGCTAAAACACACGTTGTGTCATGACTGATGACTAAACACATGTTGTGTCATGAATGATGACTAAACACACGCTGTGTCATGCAAGATGACCAAGCACAATTTAGTGTCATGTATGATGACTGAAAACAATTTAGTGTTATGAATGATGACTAAAGACAATTTAGTGTCATGTATTATGACTAAACACGATTTAGTGTCATGTATGATGACTAAACACAAGTTAGTGTTATGAATGATGACTAAACACAAGTTAGTGTCATGAATGATGACTAAACACAAGTTAGTGTCATGAATGATGACTAAACACAAGTTAGTGTCATGAATGATGACTAAACACAAGTTAGTGTTATGAATGATGACTAAACAAATGTTGTGTGGTGATTGATGACTAAAAAAATCATTTTTTTTTAGACCGTGAAGGGGCAAACGTTAATGTACGAATTTTAGTTAGTTACCTTGTTATGTAGACGACGTGTTTTCGTCACATTTCCCCGTGCCGTGAACTCTGAATGACCCAATCTAGCAGAAGCCGCGTTCGTATTGGGCATGGCCTATTTCCTTTGATGATGGCGTTTGTTTACTATCTTCTACCAACGAAAAATAATTAATCTATTCTCATAGTGATTTGTGGAAAGTTCGCGATTGTACTAGAAAAGAAAACAATGTTTAAGTCGTTTCTGGAAAGCGTCTTACGCTGCATATATAAGGGGTTCAAAGAACATTGAGGGACGGAGATCATAGATAGATATTTTTCCACTTCACGAGACAAGTGTATTATTCTGTGTGTACTCATGTGTTTATTTGCATTCATCATTGTACATTATTAATTGGCACATTGTACCAACTGTGTACCGGTACAAGACTTCCCATACTCTGTAAGTTGATGATTGTAATTATATTTCTTTTGTTTTTGTAATTATATTAAAAACCAAATAAATCTTATTAATTGTAATTGGAACTGTTTTTTGAGTGTCGTATTTTTACTATTATAATTATATGGTATCGTCCTTTGTAATGCACTGTTAAAAACGAGCCATAAACTAAAAATAAGAGATTAGTTTCTCACAATAGACAGCAGTGCTTAACATAGCTAGTTAATTATTTAGTTATTTTTTTTTCTTTCAGAAATATCGAAGATAAACA